TATGGATTTAACCAATCATACACTGAAAGTATTAGGGGAAAAAACAAGCTGTTTTTCTCATTATTCCCTAAGCATGCAGTATCAAAACTATTTATGTAATGTTTGCATTATATAAGTAAAGCTTATTTGAAGTGTACTGTACAAGATTTACAGGTTATATGCAAAACACTCCATTTTAAATAGATCTGAACATACATGAGTTTTGGCACATACGCACACCAGTCTTCAGAACCAGTCTCACCTAGATGCTGTGGATGTTTTCATCTAGAATGCCCATTACCCCTAACATAGGTAATCAAATTTACAACCTTCTTCAAAGTCAATACACTTTCCCCTTATCCTAACTTCACATGCTTTGTACTCTACTGGTTAAAGTAAGTCCTTTGGAGTCAGGATCTCAAGAATTTGAATCTCAGCCATACCCATTTACCAGAAGCATAGGGTCCTTAGATACGTCATTCTCACTCTGGATGCCGTAATGTCTTTATCTGGAAAATAAGCCTGTATTCAGTATCATAAATAAAATGGTTAACCAGAGTTGACAGATCGTAGAGAATCATCCATTCTAACCCTGATTGTTTCACCAGTGCCCTCGAGAGTCCTTTAGATCTCCCCTCCCCTGTCATGCTTCCCACCTTCCCACATCTCTCTCCTGGTGATCCCTCTCTAATGCAAAGCTGTTCATTGTGACTCTCCACTTTATTTCTAGGATTTCAGACTCCACAGCTCTAGTCTGTACTTTCTATCCAGAGCCTGTTGTCACCTGAACAACTTGCCTGGCTCGTAGTATCTCAGTTAAAGTATATTCAAACCCAAATTTGTCATCTTTCCAACCCATTTTTCTTTAATAAACAAAACTGTTTATTGAAAAACAATACTGTTCCTGTTAATTCTGATAGTTTCAGTTTAGTGTGGTTTTTATAAAATGAATACAGTACTAAAAATCACATTTTCACCCTGTCATGCCTGGAGGAATAAAGAATTCTGAATCAGCAGTCAACTGAAATTGTTGGGTTTAGCAGAAGAAAGTCTTGTGCAGAGTCAACCACTAGCTACTTTTCTCCTATACTAAGAATTATTCTAGCGTGGTCTGATAGGTAATGTGGAACGTGAGTAAGACGTAAAGAGAACTGAATACTTGCTTAACATTAGTGCCATCTGAGCTGCTAAAGAATGCCATGGTTGTTTCTCTGCAGGGTATGAAGCAACCATTTGTTGTTGAATATTAGGTATTTGTAAAGGACTTTGAGGTGACCTGGGAGGCACCATTTCAACCAGCTGATACCAGAGCAAAAGAAGAGCGTCTATTAGTCCTTATCTGCCAGGAAAATACTATAAATGATAGTGAAATCTGGAGTGTCCTCCCTAGACTCCACCTTCTAAGCCTTCTGTGAGGCTTCTCACACCCATTGGCCAGACCATCCCCATTCCTAATTCCTGGCAGTTACGTAGGACCCCTAAGCAGCAGCATGGGGTTACGCTTTCCCACTGAGAACCAGGCCCACATCCAGTTTGGCTTGAGCTGCAGGATCTGTCTTTGGACTTTTCTGCTGGATTTGTTGTGATTCTACACCTCTCCTGATATACCAGTCTGCCTGTCCCACCTGTATGCCCCAACCTGGCAGACTTTGTCCCTCTCCTACTATCCAGTTTAGAAATTGACATCAAAATGTTCAAAGGAAGCCCATGTTAAAAATCATTAATTGTTTCAGGATGTTCTTTTTGTCTTACCATAGAAGAACTTTAACATCTATCTGTTAGGAACTATTGAATAGCAGGCAATATGTTGGGTACCTCACAAACTAAAGAACTTTGAAGTGACTTGGGAGGCTCAGCCATATTATCCAGCTGTGACCAAAGCCAGCCTCTAAAGAAGAGTGTATATTAATCTTTTCTGCCAGTAAGAACTATAAAATGTAAGACTTTGTCCTCACTAAAAGGGATATGCCTTTCCAAAAATGAGAAACCTAGGTTCAGTAGGGTAATTCCCACCACATTTATACATTGTAAATGGGAGAAACTTAGAATACAAACCTGTGCCTGTATGATACCAAAGCTTATGTTTTACCTTCTATTCTTTAATATGTCTTGTCAATGTACAATGACTTAGAATATTGTAATCATCACACCCAAAATTAAGGACAAAAAGGTTTATTTAGCTCACAGTTTGTGGAGGTTTCAGTCCATAATCAGCCAGCTCCAAGGCAGGGTAGTGTGACTGAGGGGCAGCTGTTCATGGCAGTAAAAGACAGCAAAAGCAACAAGAGTAAAAGGGGAGGAGAGAGAGAGCAAGCTTCTTTCCCTACCTGTATTGTATATAGCCTACCTGCCCCAGGGCAGGGGCAGTACTCTCACCCATAATCCCAGCATTGGGCTGTGAATCAATCACAAACTCCAGAAGCCTGTCCACATGACTGCAAGAGGCAGTCTGACACAAACCATAACATCATAGTTAGATTTTTACCTGTATTCTTTAATACTGTTTTTTTTAGTGCACTTTGATACAAAGTGCTACAAAGAATAATTCCAGATTTTTGCAGTCATGGAATTTATAGTTGAAAGATGTGGGAGAAGAGAATTACAGTTGAATAGTAATGAGGTGCCTCAGTAGCAAAGAAAGGCCTGTACCTGTTTGGAAGAATCAGAGAAGTGTCACAGCTTTCATATTTCAGCTATGTGCATGATGAATGGGAACTTCCCAGGTGGACAGAGCAGAAAGAACAGTATTTATTTTTTAAAAATGTTTGAATTGGGGCTGGGGATTTAGCTCAGTGGCATAAGGGCCTGCCTTGCAAGCAGGCAGTCATGAGTTTGATCCCTGGTACCGATAAAAATGAAAAAAAAAAATGTTTGAATGAGGATAAATTTGGTAAAATACTAGTAATCTTGTGCTGCTGTCCAGTGCAGAGGGAAAGGTGTCAAAAAGAAAAAGGACCAGATAGACTGTAGAGTATCAACTGCCATATAGCTAAGTGTTAGTCTTTGTTCAACACCGTTGAAAGATTACAGGCAGAAGAATGGCATAATCAGCTTTATCTGTTAAAAATTTGGTTGGTAGGCCAGGTGTGGTAACACATGCATGTAGTCCCAGCACTTGGAAAACTAAGGCAGAAAGATCACCCTAACCCTGAGCTATGTAGTGAGTTCAAAGCCAGCTTGGACTATGTACTCAAGACCCTATTAAAAAAAAAAAAATCACTTGGTAACAATATAAAGAATTAATTGAAGAAAAGTTAAATGAAAATAAAAATAAAGGAATATCTACAGTGTTGCAGGTGAGGGAGAAATAGGGTCTGTGTTAGGCAATAGGAAAAGAGACAGTAGACGCACTAGGAAGCGGTTGAACCGAGAACTGTTTACCGTATTTGGGCAGTCTTTTACATTCCAGGTTATGAATCTCCTCTCTTGCTTTTTGTGTCAGATTAAACTAAGTTAAAGAATAGTTTTCAATTCATGATATGGTCTTTCATTCACTTCGTGAAAAGTACTTCACATGATTTTTTTTTTATATTTTCATATCTGGATCATACAATAAAAAGTTGTGAGGTACTCATAAATTTTATAAAATCTTTCAGCTTCATCATGAAAACTTCAAAGTTAAAAACATATGGTTCATCCATCCAACTCTTCTAGTATGTGAGCTTTGGACTGGAAATTATTTCCAGTCAAGTTGTAATGTAAAATCACAAATTGCCATAGTTACTCTGCATTATAAGTTCTAATACTGTCATAGAACAGCCTTAGTTATAATTATTCATTTCTCTTTTCCTTTTCCCTTAGCAGGATGCAAGAGTTATGATTTGTGAACTACTTTGGGGGGGCACATTTATTATACATACATAGCTATTTACACTAGCATTCAGGTTTGTATATATATCTGGATATAGATATGTGGCTAGCAGATTACTGGGTGCTAAAGGCATCTTGACCAATCTGTCATATTAATCATAGTTTTCAAAAACTTTGATCCATTTTCCTGGAATGTATATAAAGAAATGATAGCTCTACTTGCCCAGATGTTCTTTTAAAACTGTTTTACGTTTTGTAAATTAGAGAACACAGAATTAGAAATTCAAAACTTACAAGGAACATGTGCCTACATCAGTAGTACTAAGAATAAATGGCAGATAATTTTTTGGCATAGGCCAAAAAGTCATTCCTAAAACTGAATCAATTTTGTACAAGAGTTTATAGCTGTTTTACTGAGAGTGAGGGTTTTTTTAATTATTATTAAAGTGTCATTGTGTGTAATTATTTGCTAGGTATATCCCAAAATGAGGGAGTATGGTCCTAAAACTGTATAAAGCCACTGCCTAAGATCATGATACTAACTTAGGTGTCTTTAAGTCGGCATTTTCCTGAATCTAATTTAATTGCAATAGCTTTGCCTGTGTAAACTACTCCTTTGTTTAAATAAGATTTCATTGTTTAGTTTTGCCTTAAGCAAATGCAGCCTTTTGTTTGTCCATGGAACATTAAATGTATAGACGAATATGAGTAGCTGCTCCTCAGTTCACACAGACCACTGACAGTTGCACCCGTCACTGTCGATAAAAAAACTAGTCTTAGCTTTTGCCTGCCCTTTGGGAAAATAAATTTTTGCCAAGGAAACACAGTTCCTTACTATTACTGATTTTAATTTTACAGGAGTATAGGAGATTTACTTTCTAAATGCAGCTACTAATAGTCTTGATACAGTGAATTATGTAGGTATTTGCTCTCAAAGTACACTGAGTTTTTATCTTCATTTCATTACTGGATAACAGTACTATCCGGCTATCTTTGCTGCCCTTAAAAAGCTGTTTTTGGCCCTTTATAAAAAGCAATGTGTAATATAGTAAGTGAGACAGTCATTTTGTTTCTCTTATCCAATTGTAGTTTTCTGGTTTTATTCTGATGAATAGTAATTTGGAAATGCAGTGCTTATTTTTTCTGACGAAGAGGTGGAGAGGGAAAGTGCTGTGATTCTTGTGACGTGTGTGTTTCCCTCCTCATTTCAGGCAATGCTGGATGTGGCTGCAAATCAGGGCTGGCTGGTGACGGCCCTGAACATCACCAACCTGGTTCAGATGGTGGTGCAGGGCCGGTGGTTAAAGGATTCCTCTCTTCTTACACTGCCAAACATAGAACAGCACCATCTCCACCTTTTCAGGTAATTGCCTTAATTTTCAATGTAATTATTTCAGTTTCAAAAAAATTTTTGGGAGAGAGAGCACAGTGGTCCTGGGAACTAAACTTACTGTCTCATTTATGTGAGGCACTGCTCCACCACTAAGATATAGCCCACCTTCCCACCAAAACATGTTTTTAAGTGTATATAGTTAATGAAATTTTTATAGCGTAAATGCCTACTTCCCAGAGAGAGACAGTGTGAGTTTGATCATCAGTCCTAAGCTAAATCACAACTCATTTTTACTTGCTCCTATCTAAATTGTTTTCCAGTTGCAGCACTATATATATTTTTACAGTGTCTCACTGTGTCATTCAGGCTGGCCTTGAACTCATATAGCCCAAACTGGCCTCGAACTCATGGTGATCTCCTGCCTTAGCCTCCAGAGTACTGGGGTTATAGCACACCTGACTTTGTTTTTGTTGATGTATTTCCGTTCTAACTGCATATATGTCTTTGCAGTATCAGTCTTCAGTTAAGTGCTTTTGAAACCTAAAGTAAATTGCTAGTTTCTGTTATTGTAGGAGAGATTGGAAATCCATTATGAAAAGTGAATTATGCATCTCTACAACATCTAAAACTAGTCATTTGTGTATGGTAGGAGCTCAAATATAACCTATGCATAAAAGAATAGTTTGTTATCATCAAAGTATTTAACCTTAAGTCTCATGTACATGGATCCAGATATTTCAACAAGGAAAAGAATATCACAATACTACCAGTAAGGTTGGCAATGTTTAAATGAAAATATTTCTTTCATATAAATGTTTCACACCAGTTAAGAGATACTTTCCATTGAAAATGTTGGTTCACAGTCATGGAGACAAGAAAACAGTCTGGTTACTACTTGACATTATGTAACACATACCTGATGTCAGCTCTATCAAGGGTGACAGTAATTAGAGCCCTCTAGGTACAGATACCAGTGAGAGCCTCAGGCACACATGGGCACTTCTCAGGAAAGTGTTTCATTTGATTCAAGTGTATTGGGCTCAGGGCAGTTATCTCCATGATGCCTGAATTCACACCATGAGATGACCCTGGAACAGAACACATTCAGAGAGTAAGCCATGTCAGCAACAGGTGGCAGAGGGAGAAGGCAGATACCTCGTGTGTGTCTGCAGCTGTTTCAGGACCCCTTCCAGTGTGGTACTAAATGTAAGGGGAGTTGGGTTTCAGTAGTAAAGAAGGCACGTGAACACACTACCCCACATAGCACACAGGTCTGTTATGGGAGCTACGTGGGGCCCAGGAGATTCAGTCCCCTTTTCCTGTCACCTTTAAAAGTAGCATGTTAATGTAGCTTCAGCTATGTTTTCTTCTTGCTCTTAAGATTTAGATGAACTGTTTTCCTGAGATCTGGTATAACTTGTGCTATAAATCTCAATGATTCTCAAAGCATACTTTGAATTTTTTGTTGTCAACTTATAATTTAAAATGTTATTCAAATAATTACATTAGAGATTTGCACCTGAATCATTAAAAACACGTTGGGGCACCATGTCTACTTTCTCCACATGGAAGCATCAGTTCACATGAATGCCTTTGTGTAGAGAGACCCCCTCATTGTCTCTAAACCCTTAATATTTATGGAGCTGATGCACTAGTTATAATTTATAGATTTTGTTCAGAAATAATGATACTGCCGTCAGTTGATACTTAAGGGAGTCCTGTTACTGAAAGTTTAATATAATGGCCTATAAAAAGTTATAGCTTATTTTTTTTTAATGTTCAAATTGTACAAACTGCGGTTGTCATAAAAATCTCAGTTGCTCTGTGGAGGAATAATTTTGTTGGTTCATATTATTTCTTAGGAAATGGAAGCCAATTGTAAAGGGCCCTTGTACTAGGTGCCGAACCTCCATTGAGTGCCTTCCTGAACTGATCCAGGCCTGTGGAGGGAAAGACCATGTATTCAATTCTATAGTAGAGAAGGAGTTACAGGCTGCCAAAACAAAACAGGTAAGCCAGAGCTCGCATGTGCTGAGAACTTCTTACTCTACTGAGAAAATGGTACCCAAGTTTCTAACTTTAGGCATAGATTTTGAAGTGAAGTGCACCTGAGTTTTAATTGTCTGTCTGCTATTTACTAACCATAATTATGAACTTGAAAAACATTTTATCTGTTTGTAAAGTTCTTGTGAAAGTTACACAAAATAAATACTATTGTTTAAACTATTTTATGTAGCTTTTGGCATAGAATAAAAACTCAGTACATGATACTAAAAATAATGGCACAAATCATAAATAATAGTACTAGCATCATTGGAAATCATTTCAGTATAATATCAGCAAGTTGACTTTGAAAGGCTTACCATAGCTCGTCCCACTAGGCTGCCTACCCAACTGCCCTCACTCCCGTCTTTATGGTACTTCTTCATTTATGCTTGAGCATATTTTCAGGCAATTCCCCCATCTACTTGTTTATGCCTTCCTCTTTGTCACTTTATTGTTCTAAATTATAATGTATTCTTTCAAATAAACTCCTTATTCGTAAACCATCTAACGTACAGAGTCAAATCTGTGTTGTGAAAGGCAGCATGGATCATCTGTCCAGGTAAGCCAAAAGCATGAATAAATGAAGCCAGAGTATTGGACCAATTGGACTTTTAAGACTTACCTAAAACATGTTAAAGTAAATGCTCAGGATATATAGCAAATATATTGATATGTGTATATAGATACTAAAGAAAATTCTAAAGTATGCCCTTTTTTCCTAAGTGGAACTTATTTTTGAGTAAGATTTGAAAAAAGTATATCAGGCATTAATGTCTGATTGTTCAGTTTCTGTTGAATCCAAAATTGGCACAAAAACTTTAAATATTCATAATAAATTCCACCTTTCTAGCAAATTGCTATCAAAAGTATGAATGAAAACAGTATATTTAAATCAAAACAAGACTTTTGTTATCAACAAGATTTCTAATATAACATACATTGATTTCAAGCCAAGTTTTATATATGAAAAATGAGAACATTGTTAACATTAGTTCAGGGAAACTCAGAAGTAAACTTACTCAATTTATTTGCATAAATTGCCATTCTGTTATCTTTAAAACCGAATGTAAATTGGCTCTGTTTGATATGATGATGGTTATTTGGCTCAAAAGTGCTTCAATTTGCAGAGCAATCTGGTGTTGGCTCTGCAGTGAGGCGATCCCAGGTAACATACAAATCCTGAATTATTCCAGAAATTAGTATGTTTAAAGCATCAATTTAAGTGCTAATTGCAGTAGTAATGAGAAAAAGCAGTACGACTGTGAGATTTGCATCTCCTACCCCATCAGTATGCCTGGAACGGCTGCTGACTGCAGAGGATTTGGCTGCTAATTAAATAATTGTATGCATGGCAGTGCTCTTGCCTGATTCAATAGATGAAGATTAATCCTCAGATAAATATGTTTGGCTGGTATTGAAATATTTTAGCAGTTTCTTTAAAAATAGCTCATGTTTTCTATACATAAATACATATATCCAGTAATTATAGGTGTAAAAATATGTATAAGTTTAAAAATAATATTAAAAGCTACAAAAAGATGTCATATATGTGTGTATATATATCTAATTATTTATTTAAATGTATATGCACACACACATATAGATATGCATAGCCAGAAAAGACTCTTTGGGAAACCAAAGTAAAATGTCAATAATTTGCTAATAACAGAAAACATTATATTGGTAACTAATTTCAAAATACAAGTGAAAAAACATATCAAACCTTTCATCATATGGCAAATATTGTTATTTGTATTATCTGTCAAAATTATGTGCCATATATACACTGTATGTTTAAGTACCCTCTTCACCACATTTCCACATGGACCAGTCCTAAAACGTGAAGTGGTACAGTTTCAATTCTCAGTTAACTGTTGCTTCTAGTAAGGCATAGACCATTTCTAGTTGAAGTACTTTCCGTAGCTTGACTACTTAAAAATCTAGTTACAATCATAATTTAAAATTCACAAGACATGGTATAGGATTGGAGTGAATGGAATAATTGCATTGGATTTACAGTTTTTTTAATTCCTAAGAGCCACTTCAGTTGCATATACTCACCAGCACTAAAGTTTTAGCAAACAGCATACCAAAGCCTATATGGAACTATATATGGCTTTAATGGAAATGGAATAAAAGTGAAACCAAAATTAAAATACCTGCGTACCTTTTAAAAACTACCTTAGGAGGTAACAGCTGGTGAAACAGTCAATCTGTTAAGAAATTTTCTTGACTGATAGTGATATTACAACATAACTGTAAGTATAGAATAAGATGGCAATTACCTGAGACTCTCCAGTTTATTGTGTTACATTCTTTCCATTGATCTGGGAATTTATTTATTCACTCAACATTATTGAGTACTTGGTATTTAAATTCTGGTTATTCAAACAAGAATCAAATTGGTAAAATATTTCTACTCTTATAAAATGTTATTTTAATTGTTATTTAATTAACTGTTAGCAAGGCTTGTTTCTAAAAAGAAACCTAGACTTAAAATATTCCCTATGATACATAGACATGCAGAAATGTTTACCTTTCAAGATAAATACAATGAATTCAAAATATGAAAGTATGTAATAAGTTGTCAGTGTATGATATTGACATTGATAATTAAATCACAAATATTTTAAAATAGCCTTTATATACTCCCAAGTACAAAAATGTCCTCTACTTTAAAAGTCACATAAGTATTAGAATTAGTGTTTCTCTAAAACAGACAAGTTCAATAATAAATATTTTTAATTTAAGTCACAATGAAATTCATATAAAGAGTTGCCACTCCGTATCAGGTGGGATTTACAATACAGGGATCATAAGTTTAGATAAGAAGTCTTTTTGTAGTTGTTTAAAAGAACGTTAAAGAGATTAAAAGCACACTGTATCACTGACAGTATGTTGGTTGGAGTATTGTACAATAGAATTGAAAAAAAAAATGCTGCTTTTGGTACAACTGAATAGTGCCAAGAATCTTTTTTCTTTATAATTTCACTGGACTCTAAATTGATCTTAGAATTAAAAGGTTGATTTTTCTAAAATCACACAATTAGTTGACCACTGCCTTCTATATTAACTATTCTTTCTTACTTTTCATTTCTTTTTTATTTAGGCATGGAATTTTTTATCTCACTTGCCAGTGATAAATGTGAGCCTAAGTGTTAAAGGCTCATGGGATGATTTAGTTGAAGGACATAATGAACTCCCTGTCTCAACTCAGCCTGCAGACCAGCGAGATGACAACAAATGGATCAAATTGCATGCTGATCAGGAGTATGTGCTCCAAGTCAGCTTGCAGAGAGTCCACTTTGGGTTCTACAAGGTATAGTGTTTGGTTTCCATTCTCAGATATTTCACACCAGATACCAACATGCACCACCACACATATCTTTTATATGACTAATGTGTCTGTGTCATTCATGAATCCTGCTGTCTCAACTGGCCTTAACCAGCAAGAGTCAGTCTTTTGAAATTAGTCAGTATTCCTCATGTGCCACTTTTCAACCCCAGAATAATCCACTTTACATAACAACATATTGCCCAGAGTACTGTTCTCAAAGTGAAATCTGCAGGCTCGGGCTAGCAGAATGTCCTGTAGTGCCTCTCAAAGTGCAGATTTCTTGGCCTCCCTCCAGAAAGACTGAAGCAAAAACCTCAGTATCTGAGGAATCACAAGACTGATACTCTAGTTAGCACCCCACATGACTTTTGAGGACAGTATTGTTTAAGAAGTCCTACCTTGGAGGCACTGGAATATAAGACCCTCATTAAGCTAGATGTAGATGAGATTGTAGCGTCCCGCTTTGCTCTGCACATTTCTGAGCTTCAGTTGCCACGTCTGCCTGCGTTCTTCATTATAATGCATACAGGAAAGCATTATCAGTCTCATAGAGACCACAAATGTACGGTAGTTTTATTTTAAATTACCATGTTCTTTTCCATATCCTTTGACACCAAAATTAATTATTTAGTCCTTGAAGAACACTGGTACATGTATTGTGGGTTTCTATACCATAATAACTGAAATAAGAATTTTTTTTCTTTTTAGCCCAGAGGATTCAGGACTTTCTAATACCTGGAATAAACCTTAGGGATGCGGTTATAGTTCCTTGGTTATGCTTCTCTGTTTTCACACACAAAGCATGAAATTTTTGTTTTGTTATGATGCCCTGTTGATACTGTGCCTTCAGGTCCTTCCCCACTTGATTTCTAATACTAAAACTGAGTTAATGTAAATAATAGCTGATTAGCTGTGTGTGATACCATGCCTATAATCGCAGCGCTCAGGAGCTGAAGCAAGAAGGTCCCAGTGAGTTGGGCTACATGGTGAATTCAAAGCCAGCCTGAACAAATAGATCCTGTCTCAAAAAATTAATTAATTAATTAAAAATAAAACCTGGTTGACTTCTTGAAGAAAAGTAAGTAAAAGTGTACAAAGACATCAAACCAAAAGAAAGTTTAAATATCCAAGACAGACATGCTGAACTATGTAATGTGTAGCCTTCAAGTAAGATAGTATGGCCTTTCCACCACAACCAAGCAGTATGGAAAGTGTAGATATGGCTAATGTTGTGTGTTTTTTCTGATTTACAGGGGAAGCAAGAAAGCTGTGCAGTTACTCCTCGGTTTCCCAAATCCAAAGATGAGGGATGGTTTTTGATATTAGGTGAAGTAGACAAGAGAGAGCTTATTGCTTTAAAACGAGTAGGATATGTTCGAAATCATCATGACATTTCCCTTTCCTTTTATACCCCTGAAGTACCTGGAAGGTAAGCAGAATGTTACTAAAATTCCACAAGAATTACATTTACTGTGATTTGAACAGTTTAACATCTTTGTTCTGTGTTCACGTTTTAGGTATATCTTCACACTGTATCTCATGAGTGACTGCTACCTTGGCCTGGACCAGCAGTATGACATTTATCTCAATGTCACACAAGCCAGTATTTCCACACAGGTCACTACAGAGGTCTCTGATGCCTTTGCTGACCTGGCAGTGAAGTAACCTGCCCAGGACAGTCTATTTGGAAGAGTCTGGCTATTCAATCATCTAAACAAAGTTGAATCACTAGATATTTGCCTTGAAAGAAGCAACTTCTAACCTCACGACATCCAGTAAATTGACAGTGACTGCAATGTTGACTCCAGCAACAAGTTAGCCATAGTGGCCTTTTATCAAATGTCACCTTTTTAAATGGTCTCTTCTTAGGGTTTTTGACATTAAATGAGTGAGCATTTAGGTTAGTATTTCAGTTTATGTATATTTGAGGAACTTATATAAATACTGGCTTTTTTTTTTAAAGGAAAGCTACACCAAGGAGTTACAGTGTAGGATTATTAACTCTATATAATAAAATATGTAAATTGAAGAGGTGATACACAATGTATCTTGTTAGTAAAATTTAAATTTTGATCAACTTACTGGTTTTAATAAAACTCATAAATGTTAATATTATATAATGTAAAATTATATCAGAGTCCAGCGAAGATTAGAATAAAAAACAGAATATAATGATCTTAGAAAATATGATACTGTAACTAACAAATAAAATATATAGTCCCACTTCAAGCCTCGCTGACTCAATTATTTTTATTCTGCTTTCTTAATGTATCCCTTACTCTTCTATTCTTTTCTTTGTTTGTTGTCTACTTCAAGATTACTTCTGTTTTCTAGTTTTTTAGAGTTATAATTCATACAGTAAAATGAATTAATTAAACCACAATTACCATTTTTATCTTATGCTATAGGTAGATTTTTCATCTATGATAATAAAAGGAAATGTCTCTATGTCCAGATTAATTCTATCTTAAAAACACTTTTAAAGTGAAAAACTTGTTGAAATTCAGTGGCCTCAGAAGATGTATTTTGTATCTTTGCAAAGTAATTCTTGACCCTGATATGAATTCTTTTGAAATTAACTTTTAATATAATTGTTACAAATAATAGAACTCATGCTTTTTCTGAAAGTAGACCTTTGGCATGTGTGTACATATGTTTCCATGCTTTGAGGGAAAAAAAAAAAAGCAGAAGTAGGAGAGAGGGGGCTGGGGAGCAGGAGAACCAGGCATTCAAGAATCCTCTATGCTTTTCCTTGTGCAACGTTTACTTCCTATTTGGAATTTGTACCTGAACCACAGCTTTATAGGAATTCAAATGATAGAGGAGCCTGAGTGGACACCAATACTCTGACTTTATGTTCATCAACATCATCTCTTTGTTAGAAAGCAAGCATGTTTTGGGAAGTGGGAGATCAGAAAGAATCTCTATTCCACCTATCACAGTGAATAATCATATTGCAAATTAAAAGATTTTCAGTTTCTAATAAACAATAGAGGAAACTTGTAAGATAAGGTGCATTTGAATGGAAAAATTGACAATCATAACTTTCGTAACTTCTTGGAAACCATTAAACTTCTCATGGATTTAAAATAAATTAAATCCTGTTCATTGCCCTAAAAGTTGTGAGGTTATTTTGTTTCTTGGGGAGAAATATTTAGATGTTATTTCATTGCATTACTGTTCTAGTCAGGATTTGTAAGGGAATAATGTAATACAGGACACATAATTTATAGGAATATTTTATAAAACACCCCAAAGAGTCACATGCATACGGAGATCTGTCCACACACTAGAGACCCAAAGAATGCAGCTGAAGGCCTGGATCCCATGGCAGTGTCTTGCATGAGTTCAGCTGAAGACCTAGAGCCATGACCGTGTCCTCCACAAATCCAACTAGAGGCCCAGAGCCCATGACAATGTCTCATGCAAGTCTGTATCAAAGACTGCACTGGGAAGGCCCACAGGTCAGTGGTAGAAGCTAGAAAGTGCACCAGTAGGCTGAGGGATCTGCACTGGAGCCAAGAAGCAACATTCAAGGTAAGGACCTGAGCTACCCCAAAAAGAACCACAGCCATCATTAGCAACGGCAAGGTCCCAAGCTCATCCAGTGATGAGAATAGCAGAGATCATATCAAGAAAGCCAGCACAACAAGCTTCTCCAGGAGAACCAATGCCCCACACCCTCTTCCCCTCTGGTTCTCTTTTTATGCAGTTGGCAACAATCTTCAGGTGGGCCTTCCACACCCAGAGCCACACTGTTTCAGTTCAGCTGGATGTTACAAGTTGATCACCATTTGTCAGTCCACCACAATCACCTTTTACAGTGATTTGTAACTAGAATACTCAGTCCATTTCATCTCAAACCATGTGTTACCTCTTGGCTGGCTAATAAATCATAGCTCTGATTACACAGTGGGTCATGTTATATACCTCTGGATTTTACCAAATCAAAATAATTGAAATGCCAGTCATATATTTGTTCTGGGAACTATGTGAAAGTCTCTTGATATCCACATGCATTAGAGACATCCTGCCTTCAAATAAGATAGTCTGGTGATAAAAAGATGTATGTAATCCTCATTAAATATTTGCAATAAAAATTAGGAAAAATCCTTAGGGAGTTGGGAGGTGAACTATTATTAGGGCCAATCTGGGAACATTTAGGCTGAAGATTACTGTTCTTTTTTATTGTGTGTATATGTACAGAATAATTATACAGAATACTAGGTTTTGTTATGCCATTTGCATACGTATCTACTCCCTACAGCACAATTTGATCATATCTGTTTCCACTAGTCCCCTCCTGTGTCCACCTCTGTCACCTTCCTTGAATCCCTTTTGCTTCTTGGATAGTTTCACTCCTACTTTCATGTCATCTTTCTTTCTCTAGATCACACGTATGTGATAAAACATGCCACTTGTCTTTCTGCGTCTGTCTTATTTTGCTTAACATGATTTCCAGTTCTACACAATTCATACCAAATGGCATAGTGTTTCTTTTTCTTTATGGCTGAATAACATTCCATTTTATGTATGTATTACATTTTCTTTTAGTCATCAATTGACAAGCATTTCATATTTTGGCTATTGTCTATTGTGCCACAATAAGCATGGAAATGCAGATACTTCACAGTATGCTGATTTTAACTACTTTGGGTTTTTGGAGAGAATTGTATGACCAGTTCATGTGATGGTTCTATTTTTTAACTTTTGAGTAACCTCTATGGGAATTTTCACAGTGGATGTGCTAGTTTACATTGCATGTAAATCCTCAGCCAACATTTACTATTTTTTGTATTTCTGATGACGAATTACACGATCATTTAAATGTAATTTTTCATTTGCATTTTCCTGATAGTGAAAAGTGTTGAACATTTCTTCATATGCTTATTTTCCATCGGCCCATTTTTTGATTGGGCTGTTTTCTTCATGTTAAATTTTTTTTTAGTTCTTTATATATTCTTGATTTTAGTTTTCTGATAGAAGAGTAGCTAGCAAAACTTTTAAATTTCCCTCATTCTAGGCATTGTCTTTTCACTCTGTTGATTATTTCCTTTGCTAAGCAAAAGCCTTTTAATTTGATATAATCTAGCTTGTTGATTTTTGTATTATTTCCTGAGTGACAATGGCCTGTGCCTGTATGTTAAAGTATTTTCCCTGTGTTTTCTTGTAGCAGTTTCAAAGTTTCTGATCTCGTATTTAGGTCTTTAATCCACGCTGAGTTTATTTTTGTGCAAGATAAGATGTGGTGATTTAGTCTCAATCTTGTGCATGTGAATATCTAGCTTTCCCACTATCATTAGGTAAAGAGGCTAGCTTTACTCCAACATATGCTTTTGGTACCTTTGTTAAATCATATGTCTGTAGCTACATGGATTTGTGGAACCTCTCTTCTTTGAAGTCAGATATCATGATACCTCCAGCATTGTTCTTTTTCATCAGGATTTGTCTGGGTTGCTTTTCTCTCATTGCTGAGACAAAATACCTGATGCCCAAAATTAGGAAAGTAAAGGTTTATTTAGCTAACTGTTCGTGGAGGTTTCAGTCTGTAATCAACTGACTGCAAGATAGGGTGGCATGGCACTGGGGCTGCACTTCAAGGCAGCAGCCAGAGCAAAAAAAGGGAGAACAAGCTTCTTCTCCTCCCTGATTGCACACAGGCCACCACCCACCTCCAAAGCAGGATGGAGACACACAAAATCTTCTGTGACTACCTGTTTCACAGCATGAGGATACTTACAAAGTAAGAATCCTGGTTCCCGTGACACCCATGTCTTAGTAAAACTTCTAAACTTCTCAAGTTTAGAAGTCTACAATCCACCCCTTAACAACTTGGCAGGGAGACATTTCTTTAAAAACGGTTTCCAGATAAATGACATGCTTATCTTTAACATTTGCAACTTGAACATTATAAGACAACAATTGTTAAGTACCAGCATTAAGTCTGTCAACATTATAATACATTAGAAACAACATTTTGTCCTTGGCCCCCCAAAGACTCATGCACGTCCCTTTATGCAAAAGGCATTTAGTCCATCTGCAGGTTACCAAAGTCCTCACAGTTTCAGCATTGCTGAAAAGTTCAAGTCTCAAGTCTTCTCCAAGATGGAAGGCAAACTCTTAGCTGCATACTCTTTACAAATGAAAGCAAAGTTAAACAACTTCCAACATGCAATGGCACATGATCAACATTTTCACCCCAAAAATTACAAACAGGAGAGTACAAAGGATTGGGACAAAAGCAACCCCAAAATCCAGCACGGTAAACATTAAGTCCTGGAGTTCCATGTGTACCGTTTGAGGTGATTTATGGCAAATTGTGAGCTCCAAAGAGCTTGTATGACTCCACCCCTGTGGCACTTCTGGTAGTTACCAATTTTCTTCTGGACTGACTTTGCTCCCTTGTTGCAGATTTCCTTAGATGATCCACATTCCTGGCTTTTCCAAACTTCTGGGATCTCCACTTTGACTTCACATAGCTTCACACACTGCCCTCTCAGGGGCACACTGCCTGGCCTCCCAGGCCTTCTGAAATCAGGGTGGAAGGCTTTTTAACCTCAGACCTCTTCCGTTCTGTATGCACCTAAAATCAGCACCACACTGATGATGCCAAAGTCTGCTGGTAGCTGAACAGTACCAGGCTTCTGTCTCTTCTTGCTCTAGGGGTTGGGTGCCTGGATTTCTGGGCACTCTGACTGTAAGAAACAAGTTTTCTATGTCGCCATCATTCTGAAAGGTCATGAGGCCTCTGCAATCATTCTGGAACATGGTTCTCTGCAGCTTTCTCCTTCAAGCAAAGTCTTTCATTTTTGCAGTTTTAGGGTTGCAAACCATGTGGACCTGCTGCTTCCCATTATGTCCCCAGGCCATCTTTTTATTTCTCTGTTCCTTCTCAATAATTGTGGTCTCAGCTCTATTTTTATAGTTCACAGCTTTCTGGCCAAAATCAGTATTTTAAATCACCCTGCTGGGCTCTTTGTTCTTGATTTGCAATGTAAATCTGGTTAAAAGCTCCCATCAATAGCCATGCCACAGCCTCAACAGTCATCTGCCTTGAAATTTGTTCTTCCAGATTAATCAGTCCACCACCCTCAATCTCAGTCTCAGGCAAAGTCTCTGAACATGAGCAAAATGTAGGCAAACTTTCTGCCAAGCCATAACACACATCATCTGGAGTTCAACAACAAATGCAGTCCTTTCCAGCAAAAAACTCCCAAACCTGG